AGAGGAGAGAGACGAGACGAGACGAGACGAACCGTAGCAACTCTCACTTCTCCAACGACGAATCTGAACGCGCCACGTCGCCTTTCTTAATTAAGGTCCATTTCAATTGTTTCTTCAGCTTTTTCATTTATTTTTTGACCCACAAAGCTAAGAAATGGGCCTAAATACGAGCGATAATCATGCCCTAAGTTCCACAAAATTTCCACCAACTACGTACTCCTAAACCCCCACTAGGGCTGGGCAATCGGGGTCCCAATTGGGTTTCGGTTCGGGTTCATTCGGGTTTCGGGTTTTTGGATTCATGAATTTCAACCCCATTCGGATATTATAAGAATTCGGGTCGGATTCGGTTCGGGTTTAGGCGGGTTCGGTTCGGGTTTAGTAACATGTCCAAGATCCAGTTGAACCCGAAATAATTTGGTTTCGGATACTAATCGGGTTATCGGTTCTAAAAATACTAATTTATACTCAATTAAACTCACTATATTTTCAATCATTTTATTAAATTTGTGTATTTAGCTTCAACAAACCATATTGTTCTCCTTCAAAATAATATTGTGAAACTCGTCTATCAACCATATAAGATCTGTCATTGAACTATATGCGACAATACTAAACATATCATGATTAATGACAAACCAAAACCTTGTATGAACGAAATATTATACATAATGAAGCATAAAAAATTAAAGTTAACAACAATTCTATAAATATAAGAAATACTATTTGAAACTTAAAAAAACAATATTATATAAACTTCAAAACAAATTTATTCGTAACTTAACTTCAAATGTAATTAATGTCAATCATAAACATAAATATTAACTAAATAACACTATATATTAGACTAAATATTTGAGTTAATTATTTATATCCTAACTAAATATTGTAGGTACTCAATAATATATTAATCTGTTTTGCAAAACATATTAGAAATTTAGATTGGATATGATACAAGTTTGTTTGGAATTTTAAAGTTTCGGGTTCTTTCGGATATCTATTTAAGTTCGGGTTCGGTTCGGGTAATACCCATAACCCGAAATACCGTAAAACAAAATCCATTCGGTACTTATGTCGGTTCGGATTCCTTTTTATCGGGTCGGGTTTGGTTCGGATTTTCGGGTTCGTTTTTTTTGCCCAGCCCTAACCCCGACGAAGGACCCGGCGGTTAAACCCACTTGTCCTACCGGCACACTTAAGTTTTGTGTTTGCGCAGACTTTTTCTTTTTAATAAATAATTAGGAAATCCTGGGTCCGAAAACCCATACATCTCCATTGGACGAGATCCAAACTATGTTAAATTAATTCTCATTTGAAAAATAGATCTTTTCTAACGGGAATCAAACATATACACCTTAGATCTTTACTAGGTGATCCAAAATTTTAGTTACTAAGCTATCACCTCGTTGGTGTTTGCACAGACCTATTGAGTTAGTTAACGTTGTTGTTGGTTCTCGGCCACCAAAAACTCCTTGCTGTGAACTTCTTAAAGGTCTTGCTAATCTTGAAGCTGCGCTTTGTTGTCTCTGCACTGCTCTTAAAGCCAATGACCTGGGGATTAATCTCAATGTTCCTTTGGATCCGAGCTTGGCATTGAACTATTGTGAAATTCGGATATTTACTTTTGGTGGTTATGAATAAATATGAACGCAGAGTCTCTTGTTTGATTAGTAGAATTTTAATAGAGTCTATTTATTTTGATGACAAAAAAAAGTTTTGTGTTCTTACTATTTAGAATTAAAACTTGAATTTTTGAAAGTATATATACAACAAAGACGAATGACAATTTCAAATATGAGAAAACAGTTTGGACCAACAAAATTAAACCATACACAAGTTATATTTGAAGGTTAAACCATAGAATTAAAAACAGTTTGCTTTCTTGTCAAATTTCGTATACGTACGTTTCTTCGCTGTGGGTTATTAAAGCTTTCGATTAATTGACAATTAAGCATTAGTTATATTTGAAGGTTTTTGCAAATGTAACATTAATGGTGTAGAATAGATCAAAGATTACTAACAACTAGTACTACTTAGTTTAAAATACATTGTGAAAAGTTAATTAATCAAACAAGTAGAAATCGAAACTAACATAATAAACCTCATTAATTAGCAAGAGTTTGATTACAACAACATAAGAAAACGCATGCATGCATATATAATATATATAAGTTCAAGAAATAAAAAGAAACCCAAGTTTTGGGCAACATAAACCCTAGAAACTGGATTTCAAATCCTCAAATACTTGTCGATTATATTTATCTTAATAAGGAGTCATAACAACGTTAGCCGCAGGAGCGTAGAACCCTTCTTTCATCCCCATGTTCTCCTCACCCTCCTAGACACCAGTGTTTAAGATATGATCATAATCATTTCAAATTTTATATTTATTCTTGTGAAGGATAAAGAAAATGTATGCATTAAAACAAATATATGACTTCTTGGGATATTTGTAACATTATTTAAAAGATGTAAGGTATGTCGACCGATTAGGGTTTACCTGTTGAGGCATGTTGGGTTTCTTCACGGGTTGATTGTCTGGCATGAGCCCGAAATGTATGTGGGGGAAGTGGGCCCACTGCATTGCACACAAACAACATACGTACAAGACACATATCAACTTGTGTTATAACCGGCCAAAACTCTTTACTACTAATATCAGCTATATATATTTTTGTAGAACCTGACACTTATACATATATTATGTGTGCACATGCGAGAGTGTATAGACATTGAAAATTAAACCCTAGTTTGCCTGCAATCTAAGCTAAATTAAGTTTGATGTTAGTTAATAGCAGTGACTAATTAATTTCTCTAGAAAGGGAAGCAACAAAACCCTTGAGAAGGATACCACCACCACTATGCCTTAAATGCTAAACGTTGAATTCACTGTCAAGCTAGTGTTTTGTTGTATGTTGAATTATATATATACTTATTATATCCTGACTCTTTTTTTTTTAGAACAAACTTATATCTCGACTCGTGTATGTATATGGATTTACCAAAGGATATTGGACACTTTTGGTTATACTTTAATTTAACCAATGGATATAACGAGTTAATATGTCTGTTTGTGACTGTTTGGGATAAAAAAATAAGGTTCTTACATTCTTGGCAGCAGCACTAAAGGCTTCTCTGTGGCTTATATCAGGATTACCAGCTTTGATACGTTGGATCTCCTCCCTACGAGAAAGACGTGACAAGTAATGAATTATGTTAATGTTTATATACAATTATGATTCGAATATAAATGAATGATGCATACATAATACTATAATAGTAAGAAATTAAATGAAACTCACTTGATGAATCGGTTATATGCGGATGGGACTCTCTGTCTTTTCTCCGGAGCTGGCAATAGCAAAATTCAACGGCAAAGACAAAGCGAAAAAACAAAACACTCAGACAGAAAGAGACAAACGTTAATTAAAACTACTTTACATTGTCTTTTTTTCTCTCTCTCACAAACAGTTTCTCTCTAACCCATCATCACTTCATCATTTTCTAAAGACAAGCCCATCTTCGAACATCATACGTAGATACTTTCTCTTTAGCTAGATTTCCGGGGGATCCATGAATCTATCTCCGCTTTTATTTTTATTTTTACTCTTACATTAAACTCTAAAAGCTGTCCAAGATATATACACAATCAACACATACAAAAATGTCGTCATTAATCGATGAATATGTTAAATATACAAAAACATATCTTTAGTTTCTTCTCTATGCGTAATTCATAGTTAATAGGGTTTGAAACAAGATCCCAGGAAAAACTATGCATGTCTTAATGGGGAGTCATTTAATTACTACAAAATTATAAATATGCAAATTGTTAAGAGAACTGAGAGGAAAATATAGTCTCTTACGGCGGTTAGCGGGTGGTGCTTTAGGAATCTCTTGTTGTTGATGAAGATCCATGAAAGATGCTATGTCATTCAGATTAGGTTGTTGATTCATCAACATCATATTCATGTTTGATGGTGCTTCTCTCAGCTCCTCCTTCAGTGACATTTAATATCCTTGAGGCTTTACTAGATAGCCTATTTATAATTAAGAATAATTATTTAAACGTTGTTAGTTACCAAAACATTTTGGGGAGTGAAGTAAGATTGAGGACCAAGCTGGAGCTGGAGCTGGTTAGAAGCTGGGAGGACAAGAGATCTCATGTTCACCGAAAGAAGATTGGTACAGCAGCCACATCGGACGGTTACGGTCTTGAACAAGCTTGTGTAAGGAACACTAACCTATAAACACACGAGAGAAACAGTGAAAAATTGAAGGCCCAATTATACATAGATCAGGAAAAGGAGGAGTTCAAGAAGATCCAGAAAAAGAAGAGGGGTAATTTATTTACCGCAAGAATAGTTTCGCAAAAGTTGC